ACTTCCCTGGTACAGTCTTGCAGCTGTGACCTGCACTTCCACACTTCGCGTGTGGCTCAAGACGCTTGGGCTAAACAGGACTTCGCTGAGTGCTTCGCTGACTTCAGGGTTGAGCTCTGTTTGTGTAGACTTCCGAGTTCTTCTATTTTTTCACTTGTCGTTGTCGTTGTTGTTGTCGTTGTCGTTGTCGTTGTCGTTGTCGTTGTCGTTGTCGTCGTCGTCGTCGTTGTCGTTGTTGGTAGTAGTAGTAGTAGTAGTAGTAGTAGCACTAGTAGTTTTTTAGTAGTAGCAGTAGTAGTAGTAGTAGGAGGAGGAGGAGTTTAGTAGTAGTAGTAATAGTAGTAGTAGTACTAGTAGTAGTAGTAGTAGTAGTAGTAGCAGTAGCAGCAGCAGTAGCAGTATAGTAGCAATTAATGGCAGAGCATAAGACCGACACCAGTTCAAGGTGCCGCTTTAGTCTTATTCTGCAGGAGGAGCAGTATGGCGGCTATGACAACCAAGGTGGCGATGGAGGCTACTGACATGGCCCTTTGCGGAACCAGATTGGACTGAAGCCATGGAAAAAAGCGGCGAATTCCTCGTAGGGGTCCTTGAGTCGTCTTCGGCAGGCCTACTTTGGCAGTTAGCTGTTAGTCTAGTTTCAATTTTAGGGCGAGATAGGATGGCTGGCTTTTGAGAGCCAGCCACCGCACGCAGTGCAGGAGCTTTCCGATGCCTATGCCAAGTGTGCCACCATTCAGGCACGGAGTAGCAGATCGCTTCCTCAGACCCCAGCCGGATGAGAAGCATTGTTGGAAATCCCCTCAAGACTTGATTTCAGTCCCGGAGAACGCTGCTGATCCAGTCCTTCGTCGACACACACAGAGTGAAACGATGTGTTAGCTTCTTTTCTGTAATTAGGTTCAGACAGTACAAACACACCAACTTCCAACAGCGTGACAGCTAGATCCCCAATTTTCTCTATTTGTAGCAATCATCCGCACCGCATCAGCATGACTTCCAGGTCCAACTGAAAAAAGCCAGATGTAAATATGGATCATCCACCACCCACTAGCACGGAAGCTAGTGTCAAGCAACTGACAGCGCAGTATTCCAGGCAGAGGTGAAGCGGCGGGAGGACCCTGGTGAACAAAGCGTGCAGGTTTGTATGCCAGAGGGAGGCTGGCTTTCTGACTCATTCCAACATTCGTTGGGGTTACATGGATTACTCTTGACGATCGAAGGCGTCGCTTCAATGGAGTGCTCACTTGGCGTTTGGAACTACGGGATGCTGCCCGCCAATGTTTGGATCTTGGGAAGAAGACAGTTGTCATCTGCGAGGATCTCTTGAGGGGAATTCCCCTGGTGCTGGCAGACTTCCTAGATTCCTTGATGCATTCAAGTTGATAGCTTGGCGAGATGCATGACCGCCTTTCCTTCTTCGCTCAAGTGATGCCCATGGACTGAGGAGCAGATTCATCTTCCAGATCCTGTGCTTTGTCATAGTCCCTTGTGGTGTTGTCTCCACATATGCAAGTCAGGGGGTGGCAATCCCGGCCAGATGATCCAGCTGCTTCATGCGCACAGCCTCGGTTTCCAGGATCTGACACACGCTGGCGCTCGGCCGGAGGACGCACCGAGGCGTGGACATGCAGTGCCAGCCTAGCAGCTAGCCAGGTGTCAAAGACTCAGCACGAAGACGTTGTGCCTTTTCGGGGACCACCATGACAGCTCTGATTGGCATCTCGCATGCGAGGAAGGTGGTTTAGCGGCTCTTTGCGTAGGCCGTAGGCAAGCTCGTGCGCCCGGGGTCGGCCAGGCTCGTAATAGCTGCTTTGCAAAAGCTCCAGACTGCGGTGTCCAAGCGAATCTTGACCGCATTGTCACTGGCCTCAATGACTTATAGAGAGACAAATAAGTGTCGGCGCGATGCAACTCCAGGTGAGGAGGAGCTGAAAACAGCTAACGAGAAGATCGCCGAGTTGTGCAAGCACCGTGGGATGCAGGAACCATGTTGCTTGACTAGGCTTCTGTGACTGCACCATACGGCACCATTTGGACAGTTAGCAGGGTGTTTGCAACGGGCTTTTCAGGCGTTTCTGACACTTCGATGCTACTCTTGATCAGGGCAACGTCGACAGGGTTCCTGACACCACCTAGGTACGGCGCCAAACGCGATGAGGATGTGCAGCGTGAAGCCTATGATGCCCTGCGAGTGGAGCTGCTGGACAGAACCTGCTTGAAGAGCACAGCCAAGCAATCTGAAACGCAAAGGAACAGCGGAGTCGCGCTAGTCATAGCAGAGGTGAGCAACAGATGGTACTCGTGAAGAGTGGTAGTGGCTTTTCCGGTGAACTACAACGACAGGCCGTTGCTGGTTATCTGAGTTATCTGCTATCTTTTGACCAGCATCTCCAGGATGTCTCCAAACGTTGTGCTGACGCAGAAGCCAAGCTGCGCGAGCTCGGTGTGGAGGCCAGAGGCAAGACAGTCCGGGATTGAGCAATCCCCATGACCATGTCGTGTCAATGCGGGCTCGTCCAGTCCTTGCTAGGTGGGAGGGAAAATGTCGTGTCAGTGCCCTCCGAGGAGACCAAAGGAGCTGGTACAAGCCTCATCACCAAGATGTCCATGCTAATCTACCAGCTCCAGGCCACAGACGCCGCAGACCATGAAGATTCCTATAGTCTGCCTCGGGACAAGCACGCAGTGTTGAGGGCAGTGGTCAAAGCTTGGACTCGAACACCTCTTCCTGCAAGGCCAACAGTTGCCCAGAACCTTGCCTCCGGACACCGCTTGGCACCGCAGTTTCGCTGTTCTGCGTACAGGTATCTGTGATCTCCGGAACGGGGCTGCGAACAAAAGGCTGGCGGCCTGGACCAGCACGCCGGCACAAATCATAGTGCTATAATTTGTCCCCACATTCAGGAATTCTGCAGATGATGGTGCAGGCTTTGTGAGTTTCCCCAGCCAAGGAAAGCGAAGCGCTGTCTTGCATCTTGTCTGCGACCTCCGGAGTGCGTGATGGGCAATGAACGGAACTAAGCCAGCAAAGCCGAGCCCTGCTGCGAACAAGACTCTACATGTTGTGTTCGAACGTGCAGGTATCGTGGAAGTGGTGGGCAAGGCCAGTTGATGGGCTGATAGCTGCCAGAAAGACGTTTGTGCTGCCAAAGTCATTGCTAATGATGCACTGCTTCAACCTTCTGCAGTTTTTCGCGATTCATTTCCAGCATTGCACTGGTATGTTGTCGCCATGAAGATCCATCAAGTTGCACCGGATAATCTGAGTCACTGTAGGAAGCCAAATTCGGGACCAAGCCTGTCCGGGACTCCAAGAATCCAGCGTGGAATCACACTGGAGAGCTGCAGATGTCGCACAGCGCCTTGCCTTGCTGTGAGTGCCTGTAGCCAAGCGACGCTGCTCTGAAGCTGATGGTGGAGACTTCTGCTCCTCTAGGTGGTGGGTAGGAGACATCATCTTTAGGTTCATGTGCATGGAGCCAATTCTCTGTGTGTGTGTGTTGCAGTGTTGCATTACTGATATCATTTGAGAGCTTGTGTGCATCGAGGTGACTCGTTGCGGTTTATGGTTCAAGGAACACAGCAACGTACCCTTGGCAAGGCGCATTGAAGTCGCACAGATGCTGTGTACAGCCTTGAGACCTTGGAGAGATCCCTAAAGTGGATGCAGGCCGATCTGCAAGCGACAAGGCTCATCGGCCAAGGCAGCGCTAACAGAAGTGAATGCAACAGACAGGCAGTTTGTAAAGACGCTCTGGGCATAGCTGTAGCGGACTTTTGCTTGAAAAGCTTGCAAAGCCTACGACCGCAGCCCCCCAGTACAAGCCGTGTTTGATGGTGCCACGTCCACGCCAATTGCACAAGCAGACCAAAACGGTGCCTCGCCAGCTTGCCCAAATTGGGAAAACCACTTCTGTTTGTGCAAGCTCCTGCAACTTGAGCAGCTGTGACTCCGGGTCCGACACAGCCACCATTCTTCGATGCCGGAGGCTTCGAGGGCGAGCTGGCGTTGGAGGAAAGGCCGAAGGAGCTACTGGAAACGGAGACGGAATCCTTCCTGAAGGTCGCCTGATGTGTTGGGACAGTGCAGGGTAGCCTTTTGCATGGAATGGGATCGGGCTGTCGGCTTGGCATCTGCAGACATTGAGCTGGTGCATGCACCCGACGGCCCCGTCCGAACTTGCCTGAGCACAGATGTCGTGAGCTGTGCCAGGTCAAAGTTTCTGCTTGGAGCTCAGTGTCCTGCGGTTCGAAGATAACCCTGAGTAGCCTGGTTGGAAAGTGCAAAATCAAAACCACCTCAGTAGGGGTCTTGACACCAAAAGGCCAGGTTATCACGAAACTCCGAAAGGATAGACTCTGATAGACTAGCTTCGGCTGAGGTCTTGAATTCCTTTCTGGCCACAGCCTCCGACCTGCCCCTAAGCTTGCACACAGAATAGGACGGACACAGCTACCGCGAGATCGTATCCGGAGGATGCGATGGGATCCTCCAATTGTCCTGCTCTCCGCTCTCCAGCCAGGCCTTCCTCGAATCCGGCTCCTGCAACGGGCATGGGCAGCAAGGACACGACCAGAACTTCACAAGAGTCCGCAAGTGTTAATTCCGTTTATTTGCGCCTGTTCGCCCGCAGCAGACATTGAATAAACGGGATCACGTGTCCCAGCAGCAGCAGCAGCAGCTGCTGCTGCTGCTGCTGCGGGTTTTCTTTTGCAAACATCTTAGTGGTTAGTTGCCGCATCCACTGGAGCCCCGAAGAAACGAACTCGAACCCATCTATCCAAACACCAGATATCATCCGGTGACTAAGCCGAAGGCATAGTGGAGCGCTTGAGTGGGCAGGAGAGGGACGAGTCAGACAGAACCTTAGTTGTCGAGATGTGGGTGGATTGGGCAAGCCGCATCAATGAATCATGACAGTACACCCTTTCGTCAACACACTGGTCATCAATGTCTAGCGTCTAAAATTGCGGAATGAGGTACTTTGAGAAAACCGCCGCTGTTAAGGGAGATTCTAGCGTGGCGGATCCATTGCAAGCCTCGGACACAAGCTGACGTGCTGCAGGATTTCCTGGCAATTGAAAGGGAGGGCTCTTTTTCTCGCGATGGTTTTAGACTTTGCTTCGCCGTTTGTTTGTTTTTAATTTTTCCAGGCCCGGAACCTAGCAGGATTTCAGGGTGGGGCGGGGTCATCACCCCCTTTATCTACCGCACCGCGCACCCATCACGCCCGCCCGCTCCGCCCGCAAGCTCCCCGGGACCGTACCACTTGCATTGCCGCATCGAGATGGTTCGTGGCCAATTTTTTTGGCAAATAACCCTAACTCCTAATCCCTGAGTTACCCCGCAATGCGGGCTCGTCCTTGCTAGGTGGGAGGGAAAAATCCCTGAGTCCTGTACCTCTTTACTGTTTGCTTGGGTCATGCCGCTGCTCTCGCTGCACCGATAAATGGTTTAAGCTCGCGGGGAATTCCGGGGCGTTTATGTGGAGTGGGCCGAAGAGGACGACCGTCCGCATCTCGTTTCGAAGAACGGCAGAGGCAGGCTACGCAGGAGGTGACTCGATTTTTGCGGACTGGATCGTGGGTGGCATTGTAAGAGTGGTTGTGACCACATGGCCGGACTACGGCATCACCGCCTTTGGAGGAGCTTATGCACTTATTTTATAAACCAGGCAGCCGCATTCTTGCTAAGCTTTCCTCGAAGCCGCCAATTCTGCATGGCGAGCTGGGCTTGATGAACAGGATTTGCTTCCTGAGCTCAATGAGTTAGGCGAAGAGAGTGCAGAAACAGCGAAGAGTCTAGGTTTGATGGATCAGCGTAGGCAAATGCGAATTGGCAGTTGCGAAAATCATCTAACTTGCCAGCTTCGCGATTCCGAGCACATGTATAACAGCTGCTGCATGGCGCGCAAAGGCGCTTCGCGATTCTGTGCAGAGCTTTTGAAACCGCGCAGTTGCGAAGTTGTGGCGCTGCATGCGATGTCCCATTCACGCTTGTACCAATGTCGTCAGGACAGAATTGACAGACGATCGACCTTTCATCGGGCACCATCCAGCAACTCAAGGACCTGCTTGGTAGCCAAGACGAAGGCATGAAGGCAAGGGGCGTCCTTGGTTTCACAGCCTGACCGGGCATGCAGAATCATGCAGCTTGCGATTGCCTGCTGCAGACTGCATGGTTGACTTCCGACCGCAGACAGAAGCAGCCTTCCAGGGTGTAGGTTTGTGGTGGCGGAGTCCTGAATCGAAACTACGACAAAGTCGAACTGAGTCAAGTGGGCGGGATGCAGCGACAGTTTGAACGTGATGCTTGGAACGAGCCTAGACGTGTCGATCTGTGATGGCGCCGGCGCAAGAGCATGTCAATGGCTGCATGCTTGGGGCAGCTGCTTCTGGTGACGGCAGCCTTCTTCGTAAGAGCGGCAGGCTTCGGGTTCAAACTTCGACAGCTCTGTCATGTGTGACCGAGTCCAGTCGCTCGGCAGGCACCACCGGCAATCGCTTTAGACAGGGAGCCTCTACCGCAGAGCCTCGTCAACACAGTCGGAGAGCGGTGACGAGCCTCGCTCACTTGTATGGCATGTACGCAAGCCTCACCTCAGGACTCCGGCTACGGGCGCAAGTTGTTTTCAGATAGCCAGGACGGCATCGTGCAGGCTTGGCTCCGTAGCAGTTGGCAGCCGTTGCTCGTTAATGCATCAGTGGTTCTTGACACAAACCCGTTGAAAGGGAGTGCCACCGTCACCACAGAGATGTATCGTCGGGAGCAAATAAACAAATAAATTATATATATATATATGAGAGAGAGAGAGAGAGAGAGAGAGAGAGATGCGCCTCTAGGGTCTATTTGACGCCCTGTTTTTTCCCTATACGATTAATAAGAATATAAATAATTGAAATAATTGAAATCAGCAGGACCGGTTTCAATTGTTTCAATTATTTCAATTATTTGGGCAACTCCAAGAATCGAAATAATTGAAATAAT